TTTAAAAATTAGCCAGGCAAGGTGGCATGCATCTTTAGTCCCAGCTGCTCGGGAGGCTGAGGTGGGAGGATTGCTTAAACCAGAAGATTGAGGTTATAGTGAGCTATGATTGTGCCACTGCACTTGAGCCTGGTAACAGAGTGTAACCCTGTCTCTAAAAAACAAACAAAAAAGAAATGACCTGTAGTGTAGTTATTCTTTTATGAATACAATTTTTCTAATCAGAAAAAAAAAGTTGTAAAAATAACTCTGTCAACAGACTATAGCTTCTAGCATTTTATTTTGAACGGGATTTCAATACACACACACATATTTTCAAAAGTATTTTCCATAACTTCTGTGGCTTATTTTTTCATTAGTATACTCATGTCACTTTTGCTATCTTACTACTCACACCCTCCTCTTATACAAGAGATTTCTGGCCATTTGCTCCCCACCCCCCAGCACAGTAGCACTGTGTTCTTGTGTTTGTACGACACGTTTAGGTCCAGCTCTGTACTCTAATGCATTAGTCATGCTGAACCTCTGGGGTGGTGAGTTTTTTGTCTCGTTATGCTGCTCACTACCAGCAGCAACAGAAAATGAAATCTGCCCATTACCACAGCGTATAGTTCCTTAAGAACTCCACAGAGATCACTATCCCTGCCAGGAGGACACCGTCTCTGGAAGGGGATACCTATTCCTCCCCTCTCCTCCCACCGGAACCCCTCATCTTCTACCCTTCCCACTCTTTTCAATCCATGCCCCCTACACACTGACAAGCTAAAGTTAATTTTTGCTACAACAGTAATAATATCTCATTTTAAATAACTTATTCTTAAACTTTAGTAATATTAAAGCTATTTTTGTAGTAAGTTATAATGCTAGAAGCTTCCATGTTTTCCCATGCCTCATCTACATCAGTTTCCCCTCAAAACTGTATTTATCTGTAAAGCATCATGCTATACACACCACTGGCAAAAACAGCCTTCACTTGTCAATGTAATACGTTCCAACTAGCAAAAGGAAAAAATGACTATGGCTTTGAGTAGCTTAATCTGGCATATATTTAAGTTTAGAATGTTTGAATGAAGCAAATAATATACATAAATCCAATGCTATAATATACTATATCATGTCATAATTCTGAAAAATCATTACTTTGCATAATTAATGAAACAAGACAGACAACGTGTTCCATAGTAACTACTGGTCAAATTACTTTAAAAAATACTTAATTTAAAGACAGTGAATAGATGGAAATTGTCCTAATCAATCGAGCTATGTGAAGATCCTTATTGACCAAGGGGTGCTATGACAAGACTCTGAAGCGACAGCCAATGCCGTAACAAATTAGGTGTGGCTCTTCTAGGAGCAAAATGAGGGCTGGGAGCACCTATTTGCTATCACTCTTCTAATCTTACATTTTTGATCCTCTTACTATGGGCTTTACAAATATTACAATAAATACAACTATGAGTAAATGAATCCTATTTTGTTTTAAATGAAATGACTATATATCTAATTTAAATATGATACCCAATTCATGTAAGTTTTCTAAATAGGACCAGTTTAAGTTCTACAAATCCCTAGGTCAGCATATGACAACAAAGTAAAGCTGATGGGACAACAGCTCCACCAATCAATGAACTAACAAAAAGGACACTCCCGGTCCCACTGTAGCCTTTTACATATAAACTACAGTTACATAAAAAGTAATCTGCAGGACTTAATGGCTGCCAGGTAGAAAAGAAGATGTTCACATCTCTATATCTGAATCATGTTTCTTGGAGATTACATTTTTACATATACGCACATATATGTTTTCAACGCTTTGCTAATTATGAACTTGCTGAAAAGGACTAACTTCATCAAGCATATTATGTAATGGAAACTTGCTACAATTGTAAAAACATACATAGCAGACACATCAAAATGTCCACCACCAACTTACAGGATTTCTAGAAATGGAATAGTCTAAGATACTGCACAGAATCCTATGAATTTGTTATTTCTAACAAAATATTCTGATAGAAATTATACCTATTTGGAAAAAAAACCTCGAGAACCCTACCAACCCAAGCACTCTAACGTGACAGCTACACCAAGGTGCCTCTGTACATGAGGAACTACTCGTCTCTGATAATGTGTGGACGCGTTGATCCTCTCAATACCTTGTAAGGTATCATTATTTCTCTTTTACCAATGGGGAAACTGATGTCTTAAGAGGCTGTTAACATGCTCAAGATAATAGCAGCTGGCAGACCTGGGATTCAAACCCAAGCCTGTTTTAAATCTTCAAAATCTATGAAATACATAATAAGAGTTTTTGAAATGATCTGGAGTCCAAATAAATACTTACAGTGGATAGACAGCTTCGTGAGTGCAGTGCACCGTGGTGACGTAGTCTGGACTTGGGTTGTACAGCATCGTGTACCAGTCAGAAAGCATCAGGACTCGGCATGAACGGATGTAAAGCACACCGACGGGGTCGCTCACCAGTAAGGTGATGACAGCTGCCACACTGCATTCAAACAATGCCGTGATGTGCTGGAAAAGGGCACTGGAACTAGAGGACAAAAGAACAGAGGCACGATTACCAAAACAGTTTCAATATTTAAACAGCTTTGATAAAATATGTACACGTTTAACTGAAAAACTTGAAACTAAAAAAACTTTCTAAATACAGAGGGTGCCAAAAAATATCTACACATTTTAAGAAAAGAAATTAACAATGTAATACTCAACATACACTGATAACAAGGCGAATACCAGTCACGTTTGAGTTCTGCTATTACAAGAGGTGCTCAAAGTGGTCACCACCAGCGTCCAGACACTTCTGATCACAGTGAACTACTCCTTGAGCACCACTGACCCAAGTGGGCACTGGTATCACTGCACGTGCCATTTTAGTTTTGTCCCCCAAATACCGCCAGTGCAGCTGGTTTTCTATGGTACACCCCGCGTCCTGTACAGTCCACGTAGGTAGAAGTCAGGGGGTGTTAAGTCAGGAGATCATGAGGGAAACTCAACCACACGTCTTCGTCTCATCCATTGTTCCAGGAAATTCTCATGGAGGTGGCTCTTGTGTCTCGGTGCCTGTAATAATCTTGGAGTAAAAACTGTCCATTTCCCTTTTTCCAGAATGTGTCATATGCTTGATCTGCTGACTCTTGTTATTTGTGCACACTGCCTGGGGGACAGTGAGGGGTGAACTGTTCCAACACCACAGCACAAACAGGACTGCTGCTGTGCAAGGCCTCCTGGACCTCCCCTTGTGCACGTCACATACAGCATGGGGCATCGCACACTGGTCACAAGTGTGGACAGCTGCGTGTGTGGGGAGGTTCTGTTGCACACTCACGTGTCCTTTGCCGGGCAGCTGCGTGTGTGGGGAGGTTCTGTTGCACACTCACGTCTCCTTTGCCGGGCAGCTGCGTGCGTGGGGAGGTTCTGTTGCACACTCATGTCTCCTTTGTCATCGTACTTGCACAATGTTCTCAAACACCACTTCTGAGGATCTTGGGCTCCTCAAATGACAACCGTTCTTCTGCCATTTTCTTCGACTGTCCCTGTCCCCTGGTGATGTGAGCAGTCATTTGATTACAGCCATCCTTTCAGTGAATGTCATACTACACGTTGTGACCATAATTCAATTCAACTTCAAAAAGTAATACATAGATACCATCTCCTAAAATGTGTACACATATTTTTGGCACCCCTGGTAGATTAGAAAAGCCAAACATACATGAGAACCACTCATAAAACAATAAGCTTATTTTCCAAATCTAACACAAGAGCAGAAGTCAAATCTACCTTACAGCTTTAGCATATTGCCAAATTGTTATTACAAATATCTTAAAAGTTATTTATACATCATTTTTAATTATCTTACAAAAAAAATACACAAAAGATGACATGTAACATATATTCATTATAAAGCACAGCAGTATAACAAATACTGTAAGCTCCCTAAACCCAGTAACTAGAACACTGCCCACAATTTCCTCCTGTGCATCTCCCCTCCATCTCTCTCTCTGAAGTAAACACATACTAGACTGCTTTTAGCTCTTTTTCTCAACGGTTTTTATCCCAATTGTATTTATGCTTTAATCTATCTGCCACCAGCCAGATATTTATCAAATGAAATCTGATTCTAAAACTCTGCTTACTAAACTTCTTCAAAGTCACTCCACCTTTCTGGACAAATATTCCTCCCCAGGATCGCCTGCCACACCTCTGGCCATGCGCTCCCTCACACTGAGGCATGCATCACGCTCCACCTCAAAACACATTTCACATATTTGTGTATCCTTCAAGATCAGCTCTGGGGTTCTCCCAGGTTTTATGACATTTCCTAACACTGTTTCAGCCCCACTCACTCCTGACTTTAAGCGTGACGTCCCTGGAAAATGCAAC